GCCAGTTAAGTGACCACTCCAGGAATCCAGGCTCAAGATGGTGCTTGACCCAGGACAGTGAATGTGGAAGTGGTGAAATTCCAAGTGTATTTTGAAGGTAGAGCCAAGGGGCTTTGTTGACAGAGTGCATGTGAGAGGGAGGCCAGACCAGATCACAAAGAGTATGGTTTCCCATGCTCATGAGTTTGGACTGTACCCGAAAGTGAGGCTTTGGGGTTAGACAGAGCTCAAATCTCTGCTCCTCCACTCATTAGCTTAGAGACCTTTATCAGGTTACTCATCTGCATTATGTGTGTTTCCTTACCTATAGAATGGAGGTGATGCCACCTGCCCCAATAGGTAACTGTGAGGATGAAAATGCTTCTCAAGTGCTGAGCACAAGGCTTCCCGTTCACCATGCTCTTGATGTATGACAGCCATTATTATTACTGATATGGCCACAGGGAGCCACTGGAGAATTTTTAGCCACAAAGTGACACGGTCAGATTTCCACTGGAGGAAGATCACTCTAACAACAATGTGACTTGAACAGTGGAAGAAAAAGTGTTAAAGTCGTGCTTTTGCTTAAAAACCTTTGGTGACTTTACAAAGACTGCAAAATAGAAACCAACCTTGCTCTGACATTCAAGCCCTACATAATTTGGCTCAATCCTACTTTACTGTTTTATCTCTGTCTCTTTTCCTCCTGTGCTGACCCTTTTCAAACCACCCCCCAGCCATCCTGGCCTCAATTTCCCTAAACTCTGTTGGCTTTCCAACTTCTGAACCTCGGCCTCCTCCTGATTAGAATGCCCTTCTAATCATCAAAGGCCAATGCGGATTCCATTTGCCCCAAGAAACTTCCCACCTTCCCCAGCCAGAGTTACCACTTCACCTCCCATCGACCTAGAATTGCCCATCTGTGTTCATTCTCAATCTGCTCTCCATCTTCAGAGAAGTTGCTCCACCCACCAGCAGCCCAGAAGAGGCAAGACCCTTGGGCATAGATGATAGGATTAGTAGAGCCCATCTGGGTTTCTCCTCCCGCACTTGAAATTGAAATAGCATTATTTCACATTAGGCACCAGAAATATAGGACCCTCTAGATTTTGGTAAAGAGCTGGTGCCTTTCAAAGCTGCCTGTATGCTGAGACTATGAGGAAGTAGGACTCACGAGCCTTCTGGAGGAATATGGCACAGACAAGCAAAGAGATGTAGAGATAAGTCATTGGGCGGGGCTGGGGCCAGAGGGAATGAGAGAGGGGGAGAGAATGAGCTCTCACTCCCATGTTTCTGAAAACTTTGCAGCTGAGTTTCTGGAGATTCCCCAGTCTCTTTAACATAAATCTAATTACACAAGGCTCTGTTCCCACAATATATTGAGGACTATCTTTTTTTTTTTTTTAAGATTTTATTTATTCATTTTTAGAGAGAGGGGAAAGGAGGGAGAGAGGGAGAGAAGCATGGATATGCAAGAGGTACATCGATCAGTTGCCTCTTTCACGCCCCTAACTGGGGACCTGGCCCACAACCCAGGCATGTGCCCTGACTGGGGATTGAACCGGCGACCTTTCGGTTCGCAGGCCGCCACTCAATTCACTGAGTCACACCAGCCAGGGCTGAGTTCTATCTCTTAACATCAGTTATGTAGGTATGTGTCTGCATCCACCTGGACATGGCACTCTGAAAGGCAGGGGATTCCGTCCTATTCATTCAGCATCCCCAGAGCCTGGAACATGCTGGATGCTCAAACATGGTTGAATTGGAATCCTGACAGTTCACAAAATGGTTTAATGTATTGTTTTTAGGCAATCGTTGGGATTGTTCTAAACTTCTCTGCTTTTCACCATATTTTGTTATATTTGCATGATTTTATATCACTATATCTTTTTAAGTTGGTTTTTCACCCTACTTCCAAACTCTCCGTATTCACAGGTTTTGGCTTTCTTTTCCTATTTGCCGGTCACCAGAAAGGATTCAGGGTTTAGTGGAAGTGATCCATGCCTCTCTCTAGTCAGTGAGAATACTTGTCTTACATTTTCCAGTATTCAACAGCCTTTACCCTTGAAATGAATACTTCCCATGAAGGCTGTTGGGGCAGCTTAATTTCAATGATGTCATTTAAAACTCATTAAAAGGTCAGCAGGCAAGCTAAATACCTTCTTCCTTCAAATACCTATTCAGAATCATAGATTTTCAGATCTGGAGCCAAAGGTTCGCAGGCTCTTGAGTTTCTATGAACCAGCATTAATATTAAAGGGGAAAAAAAAGGTTGCTGAATTTATATTCTTTCAGGGAATGCCATGGAAAATAGTAAGCTTCTATTAACACAGCATTACCTCCTGCCATGCACAGGACAGCCCCAACAATAAGGAATTTTCCAGCTGCAAATGGCAATAGTGCTGATGTTAAGAAACCCTGGGATAGCTGATGACCTAGTGAAAGGGAAAAGCAGCAAAGCCCCCCAAGATGGCAGACATTTGCAGGTTGAAACCATGGAATAGCCTGCCCAGATGGGCTTTGGTGGGATCAGCCAGCTGGGGGATGGACCAGCTACTGCCCAGCCAGGGTGCGGTGGGGGGCCGGGCCAACACTCGCTGACATTCTGATTTTTAAATGGCATAAGGCACATAAAATGCTTAACGCTGTGCCTGGCACTCAGTCAATTCTCCATAAATATTACCATTATCATTGTAAGTGTTCAACTAATGTTACCATCTTTAACACAAGGGAAAAATATTTTTCTTTTATCTTACCAAAAGGTGTGCTGAGCTCCTTCACGGACTTGAAGTGCACCTCTCAGGAGACGAGTTTTGCTGGGGAATCAAATGACTCTAATGGAGTTCAAAGATTTGGGATTCCCAGAGGTCATCTGAGGAGTGAAAAAGAGGGGGGAGGAGAAAAGGAGAGGGAGGAGCCTGTGGGATGGAGTGTGACAGAGGACTCACTCCCATGAAGAACAGCGGCTTCCCTTGCAGGCGAGGCAGTAGTTGAAGACTATTTTAAGATACAGGACTGGTCAGTATACTGCTTGGGGATTTTGTATCTCAGTAACATGAGGAACTATTCTTTTGCTCCACCCCATCTCCAGCTTCTGTGACATTGTCTACAACAGCGCATACATTTTATAAACAAGGTTGCTGGTGAAATGGAGGAGGGGTCTACATTTTCCACTTGGGATGAAACAGTGTAGGACTGCAGCAGCAGCAGCAGCAGGGGTCGGGAAGCAGAGACCAGGAGCCAGAGCTGGCCGCAAGAACAGATGTTGCTGTAAGCTCCCAGAAACCCCAGAACTCCGCCTTCCTTAGGATGTAGAATGTGAGGGTTGAGCCTAGTTCCTCTGCAGACACCTGTCTTACATTTTTGTAGTAAAAGAACCATCTGGTCTTACACCTGGGCATGAGGAGGATGAAATGGGCCTGGTTCCAAAGTTCTGTACCTGCTCCAGCTGGGTCAGAAAGGGGTCAAACTATGTTTTTTGTTCTAGAATCACCCACAGTCAACACCCTGGCCGGTGTGACTCAGTGAGTTGAGTGCCAGCCTGCAAACCACAGGGTTGTTGGTTCGATTTCAAGTCAGGGCACATGTTTGGGTTGTGGGCCAGGTCCCCAGTAGGGGGTGCACAAGAGGAAACCACACATTGATGTGCCTCTCCCTTTCTTTCTCCCTCCCTTCCCCTCTGTCTAAAAATAAATGCAGTCTTTTGAAAAAATATTAGAATCACCCAGGGTCAAGACAAACACTGGCCTGAAGATCTTGGAGAGCTAGAGAGGAGCCCTGTCTTAGCTCCTCAGGGCCAACCAGAACAGGTCTGAGTTTGGGGTATGTAATATCTGATCCTTGTAGGAATAGAGGTACAGCTGTTGTGGTATCCATGTGACTGGAGCCACAGAAGCATTGTAACAACCAAGTAGCCAGAGGGCACAAGGAATGACAATGTTGCTGGAAATCTGGCTTAATTATTTCTGCGGCTTTGGTCAAGGTGCTACCCTGTGCAATATTCCCTGAAGTCTTTCCTGACCACCTCCCCCGCCCCCAACTCCCTCTTCCTGTGCATCAGGAAATCAATAAGCCCCCTTCCAGCTCTAGCAATCTCTATGTCATGATACAGAGAAGCGACCAAGGGTTTGGGGTTTATTTAGTGCTGGACAACCAGGCTCCATTGCGTCACCCCTGGCAACTTTCTCTGCCTCTGTGCAGCCGTGTTGGTATCTGTAAAATGGGTGGGGGCTAAAAAAAAAAAAAACCGCCTCATGGATGGACTAAGGGTGGTAATACACAGGGGGCTTACTCCACTTCAGGAGCTTCCAACCATCTGGCAAATTCATCTCACTCACCTTTCCTGTCCCAGCTCTTTTCCTTCCTTCCTTCTTATTTAAATTTTACCTTCTCTGTCCCTCCTTTCCAGGGCCCACCCTCCGCGGACGCAGAGCGTCTGCTGGTGGGATGGCTGGTCAGCGACAGCGGTCTGTGAGGCAGTCAGACAGTCTTCTCTTGTCCTGGGTTTAGGAAGTCTCCGAATGGCCAGTTCTGTGTCTCCGTGACACCGCCCTGAAGGTCCCCACATCTCAGGGGCCCGAGTAGAAGAACCACTCTGCAGCAGAGATAACCGACGGGGACCGCGGCCAAGGACGGGGGATGGGTGCACCAGAAGATAACGGGATGACCAGGATCAAAAACGCGCGGCGCCATCTCCTCCCGGCCTTCTTATCCTCCAACCGGTGGCCCCAGTTATCCTCTCCGATTTCGACAGTGGCTTCAGAAGTGACAGCCACGTGGATCGCGGGGGAATGGAATGTTGGTGTGGGGGGCGGGGCTGGAAGGGCGCAGGAGAAGGAGGACCCAGGTACGCGCGCCCCGGCGCCGGCTGCCAGGCGACACCGCCGGGAGCGAGCACGCCTCTGACGTCACGCACCGTTCATCCAATGAGCAGAGGCCGAAGGGAAGCTCCGTCCCGCCCGTCCCGCCCCCGCGGCCGCCGCGGCCAAAGCAGCCGCCTCCCGGAGCGTCTGGGGAGCCGCGGGCCGGCGCAGGCTCGGGCGTTGCACGGCGCGGGCGGGAGCCGCCGGACGAGGCCCAGGGAGCTGCTCGCCCCGACCCCGCCGCCCGATGTCCTCAAGATGGAGGCAGCGGGGGCGGCGGCGTGAAGAAAGCCGCGCTGTGCGCGCGGGAGCAGCGGGCCGGGCTGTCCGGGCGGAGACGGTGGCGGGATGGGGCTGCTGCTCATGATCCTGGCGTCGGCGGTGCTGGGCTCCTTACTCACGCTCCTCACCCAGTTCCTGCTGCTTTACCGCAAGCAGCCCGAGCCGCCGCCGGTCGAGGCCGCCCGCGCGCGCGACGGCTTCCGCTACCTCAGGCCGGTGCCGGGCCTGGCCCTGCGGGAGTACCTTTATGGCGGTGGCGGGGCCGAGGAGCCCTCCGGCGGGCCCTCCGAGGGCGGCGCCACCCCGACCCCCGAGACCCCCGCCCCGCCGACGCGGGAAACCTGCTACTTCCTCAACGCCATCATCCTGTTCCTGTTCCGGGAGCTGCGGGACACCGCGCTGGCCCGCCGCTGGGTCACCAAGAAGATCAAGGTGGAGTTCGAGGAGCTGCTGCAGACCAAGACGGCCGGGCGCCTGCTGGAGGGGCTGAGCCTGCGGGACGTGTTCCTGGGCGAGACCGTGCCCTTCATTAAGACCATCCGGCTGCTCCGGCCCGTGGTGCCCTCGGCCCCCAGCGAGCCCGACGGCCCCGAGGGGGAGGCGCTGCCCGCCACCTCCCCGGAGGAGCTGGCCTTTGAGGCGGAGGTGGAATACAACGGGGGTTTCCACCTGGCCATCGACGTGGACTTGGTCTTCGGCAAGTCCGCCTACCTGTTCGTCAAACTCTCCCGCGTGGTGGGGAGGCTGCGCTTCGTCCTCACGCGCGTGCCATTCACCCACTGGTTCTTCTCCTTCGTGGAGGACCCGCTGATCGACTTCGAGGTGCGCTCCCAGTTTGAAGGGCGGCCCATGCCGCAGCTCACCTCCATCATCGTTAATCAGCTGAAGAAAATCATCAAGCGCAAGCACACCCTCCCGAGTTACAAGATCAGGTGAGGCAGGAGGGGAGGGGACAGGACCCCACCGGTGCGGGGGCCTGGCTGCGGGCGTCCGGCTTGGCGGGGAGGCTGCTGCTGCGTGGAGCGGGGGGAGGCAGAGGCTGCGCCCCAGCGCCGGCTTCTCGGGGGGGGGGTGTCTCCCCATCCCTGGCCGGGGGCTTCGGTCTAGGCCGGCCGTGCACACCTTGTCACCGAAGGGCGGCGGTACGAGCTGGAACCCTTTCGCGTGTCCCTGAGCGCGGGAGGTGCCGCCAGCGTGGGCGGAACAGCGCACCGGCGGGGGAAGGGAAGGCGCCCCGGTGCCCGGGAGTCGGCTCCGGGGCTGTTGAGAAACTCCGCGGCTGCCGCAGTGAGGGCGCTTTGCAGCATCGCCTTAGCCACGTTGAGAAACGGCCCGTGACCACTTCGCGCGCAGGCGGACTGCGCTGGGGGCCCGGGGCGGTTGGATTTGGCAACGGCGGGCCGCCTTTGCTGTGACAGCTGCCGTCGAGTCCTGCTTCTGCTCGGCAGACAGTGAACGAGTTGGGGTGCCCACTGTCGCCCTCGGGACAGTTCGTAGTGACGACATCCGCCGCTGGGGGTCGGTTCTGTGGCACAGACCCACGCCCTGCCCCTCGTGTCAACCCTCTGTGGCTGTACGGTCCTCGCACTGTGCCTGAAACCGCCCTGCAGATGGTATTTTAAGGACACGTCGTGACTTGAACTTTGGAAAGACCCCCCCGCCCCCGTGGCTGGTGGCTTAATTATGGAGGATAGTGCGTCCATTAATGTACAAGGTTTGTTTTCGTTTCGGGGGGGGCGGTGTTTTGTTGTGCTGTGTTTTGTTTTGTTTATTTATGTGATAGGAGAAGTGGAAGAGAGAAGGGAGTTTTGTAGGGTCAGACTTGGGTCTGGGAAGGATTGTTGTTGGAGTAGGTAGGGTCATACACGGCTGTTCTAAAACGCCTGAGTATTTCATTTTACTTTCTGTCCTCCTCTAATGTTGGGTTCATGAAGAGGTTTGACTCTCTTGGATTTAGTCCTTTATTATAAAGTTATGTCAGTCTGGTATTTGCCTTTCCTTGTGCTCGTTAGTGGAAGTTGCCTCTTTCTACGGAGATCACTAATTTTCTGTTAGTCTCAGTCCTCAGCGACCCAGATAATCCAGAAATATTTGATGTTTGGGTTTGGGATGGATTATTGATTTGTGTATGGGGCAAAGTTACCTTACCAGTTATGCTTTGTTTAGGCTAATCGCCCAGAGTAACAGCTTACAACTAAAACTGTCAGGTGGCAGGAGAGGTTTACTTTATAATGGAAACATTTCCATAGGTTTGCAGGGGATGTTGAACGGGTTGTTCACTGCTTGGTTTCCTGCTCTGTGCAGTGGAATGTAGTTTATGGAACCTGATCTTTAAGCTCTGGGACATACATAAGTGACTAAATTATAAATGAATTCAAGTGGTTATGCAGTAAGAGGTTCATAGCAGTGTGTTGCTAAGAAAGTCATGAGAAAAGTTACAGACTTTAATGTTCTGTCACAATTTCAACTCTGTTTTTTTCTGGATAACTTTCAGATAATAAAATTTGACTGATTTATTGTTTGGAGGTTATTTGCAGAATAGCCACAGTGGCAGTGAGATTACATACCGTTTTGAGGGTTTTTAACAATTCAGACTTAGAATTCAGTTAACTCTGAAGGAAATTATGAATACGAGTTTTGAAGCCATTAACAGGGCTATTGCTTTGTAGGAACTTTATCATCTGTCATTGAATATCATCACCATTTAAAATATAACTAAATTGCTTTATTTACATTATCTGAAGGGATTTTTAAAGAGCATGCATTTGGTTATGTATATTTCAACGTTTAAACCTTAAACATTAAATGATCACATCCAGAAACATAGACACATGTGCTCTTTATAGTAGAAGGCATTTCAATGGTCAGTCAGTAAATATTGCACAAAATGTATCACTCAGTCTGTAAATACTGTGCACTGGCTATGTGCTTAGCATTGTTCAAGGTGTTGGGGCTTTGATATTGAACAACTTCAGCCTTCGTGAGAGCTTAGAGCTTAGTTAAGATTTGAATGAGCTTTTCTTAATAAGATTTAAACTAGAATGTGATTGTTGGGGTTGAAGTAACTAGGAAGCCAATTTTAGTTTATTTAGTAAAAGAAAATGATAAAAGTATGAGAATGAAAAGGACTGTTTTAGGAAGTGTTGAGTTCTCTTGTCTATGTAGCTTATGCTACCAGAAGTGATGTTTTCAAGCTTTTATTTCTTTTTAGAGAGGGGGGAAGGGAGGGAAACACTGATATGTGGTTGCCTCTTGTGCATCCCCAACTGGGGACCTGACCTGGAACCCAGGCATGTGCCCTGACTGGGAATCGAACCGGCCGTCCTTTGATTTGCAGGCAGGTGGGTACTCTATTCACAGAACCGCAGCAGCCAGGCAAGCCAGAAATGTTCTAAACTACTGCTATTGTGGAGCAGTTTCAAGTTTCAGCTAAGAGAATGAATTAAAACATTTAAGATGTATCACAATTCTCATAATGAGAATTAAAGTAGTGTTTATCCTTTTTTTTATAGATGAGGGAATAGTGCTCAGAGTAGTTAAATAACTTGCTTAAAGTCACACAGCTGTCAGATGGTAAAATCCAGCTCGGTGAAAGCCAGGCTGCCTTTCTCTTAAACTATACCACCTTGTTCCTAAGGGATTAAATCTTTGGGTGCTGCTGCACATAGCATTTCTTTTTTTAATCCAGCAGATTTTGTTCCTGGATAGAAAGTCTTGCTAGTTTATCTGTTTTAGCCATCTAATTTACTGAGTAGAGCTAAAGTAATAAAATTACATTGAGTCCTAGGATCCTTTGGCACTGTTACCATATAACAGAAATATCTTGCCAATTAACATGATTGTCACCTCTTTCCTCCTTCATTCGTTTTTCCATTTGCATGTTACTAAGATGAAGGTGGCCCATCAGCTCTGCCAGATCCTGGTGTCTCCTGCGGAGTGAAGGAGCTCAAGCTGTTGCTTTCTAAGGACCCAGCTGATTGCCACTTCCTTTTAACCAACTAACACAGTTTGTATAACATTGTATTTTTTAAGGTGCTATAATGTGTGTAAATTTTCTAGATATTGTAATTCTAATGTTACTAATATAATTCAAAATGTAGCCATCTCAATGTTGTTTTGATTTTTTTCTCATAGTATTAAAGTTAGTAGTATTTTTAACTGCAACTCTTATCTAGTAACCTTTTTTCCAAACCCCTTACCTACTCTTTGTTCCCCAAATAAAAGAGCCAGCTTAAGATGAAATGTTAAGACAGTTTTTGAGGGCACATAACTGCTCTCTTCTCAGATCGCAGGTATCTGAATAAAGTGCCTATAAAGATTAAAAAAAAAAACAAAAAGTAGTAGGGTTTTAAAAAAATTAACCCAAAAATTAGTCTTCAGGAGAGAAAGATACCACTAATGTTCTTGGCTATATGGAGAATCCATCTTCAGCATGAAATCTGAGTGTAAAAGTCCTGGAGAGTTTAAGGTCTGGGATGCAAGTATTTGAGATTTTTTCTGAGGTTTCTTGTCCTAGAATATTGCTGCTGTGAAGTTCGCACTGGTTACATACTATAAGGCCAAATTCAGTTTGCAGGTACATTTCATTTGGCCTGCACTGTGTTTTATCGTTGGTTTGTTTCTTAATTGCCAACATTTAAAAATGGAAGATTTTGCATGATTTAGATTTCTGGCTTCTCTTAGGAAAAATTGGAAGATCTTGTGGCACTAGCGTTGCGCTCCTCAAAGCAGTAACAGGATGGAGAGATGGAGCCTAGTGACAGCTGCAGGAAGCTCTTACTCATACTTCATAGTTCGCACTTGCTTGTTACACTTCCTGATGCTACTTGCCTGGCCTGTCTTCATATGAACTTGAGACCCTTACTAAATGAGGAGCATTGCCCTTGCTCATCAGTGAAAATGGGATAAGTTAATAGCAATAGGAGAGGGTGATAATTTTTACCCCACTTTAAACACTATATTTTTGAAGGGACTTTCATTGAACAATTTTATTTTGTAAAAGATATCAATATAATGTCGAGTTTTTAAATATCATTCTGCCAGAAATATTTTTAGATCCTTTGAAACACTTTCCACTTCTCTGCAATACAGTAAGTAGATAATGGCTGCTTTTCATTTATTTCTCTGATCTACAAATGGAGGGGGGTGTGTGCATCTACTTACTGACACTATTTGAATTTAATGAGTGAGTATGGAACAAATATTTGGGGGAAACATCACTTTTCAGACTCATGGAATGTTTTCTGAAAATGACTATTCTGTTATCACTATTTTATTACTCCTGAAAATAGCCTGGTAAATGTTTGTGGAAAAGTTAAAATATTCTTAGTGATTAAAGATGGAGGAGGACCACTATCCTTGCTGAAGGACAAGGCTTTTAGTATTTAATTAGATAGAGCTTTTCTCATATTTATGTTTATATTTTCCCTACATATACCATTTATTTCAGAGAATTAGATTAGGCTTGGTCTGGAAAGCCTCATATTCTATAATGTGGTTTGCAGTTGAGTTATTCTTTGGTCTTCTGAGATGGGGAAATATGACATTTATTCTTAATGTTAATTATCACTTTTTATTTTACTAATTACTTAAAATAAAGATGGTTTTGAGTAATCCGTATCTCCTTAAAAGCTTTCCAAGTAAATTTGCTAGAAGCCGACAGTCATTTGTAAAGCTAAGTGTAATATACTATATTTATTCACTTACTCTTTCTTACTTTTCTTTCTAGATATGGACAACTTTTAAAAAGTGTATTAGGCTAGAAAATACTTGGAAATAGCTCCTACAATTTTTGCTTATTGTAGGAATCGTAGTTTTACTTTCCACTGTTAACTGTTTGGGAGAGTAGACACAAGGACATACATAGTGTATCATTCTAGCTGTTCTGGAGTAATGATATAATGTAGTAGCTAATATTGATCTATTATGGTTT